TGGGTGAGAGCCAAATTTTTTAAACTTAAACTTCTTCAAATGCCACTTCTTCAAAATAGACTCACCCAGGCTGTGGTATGTTGTGGAAGAGCCGCATGTGGCTCTCGAGCCGCAGTTTGCTGACCACAGAGGTAGGCTGTTAGCGTCAGACCGTTTATATGGGAACAGGCCTGGAGACGCGGGCTCGGCTGTCAGGCTTTCCCAGGTGACGAGGGGCCAAGCTGGGACTGCTCTGAGCCCCTCACTGAGCTGTGACCCTTTCTCTGGGCCTCGGCTTCCGGCCTGTAGCCTATGAGTGGAAACTGCCTTGTTAGAGGGTCATGTAAGGGTCCACGGGCATCGGTACATTTGTGACCCGTGGTGAGGCTCCGGAACCTTGAAATGACTCTCCTTCTGGATCCTTAGATGGGCACCAACAAGTTTGCCAGCCAGCAGGGCATGACGGCCTACGGCACCCGGCGCCACCTCTATGACCCCAAGCTGGGCACCGACCAACCGCTGGACCAGGCCACCATCAGCCTGCAGATGGGCACCAACAAGGGGGCCAGCCAGGTGTGTGGGGCCAGGGGGCGGGCTGCTGGGCTCTTGCCCTTCGCTGTGCCCACGGCCTGACCGCGCTCCTCCGCAGGCCGGCATGACGGCTCCCGGGACCAAGCGGCAGATCTTCGAGCCGGGGCTGGGCATGGAGCACTGCGATATGCTCAACGTCAGCCTGCAGATGGGCAGCAACAAGGGGGCCTCACAGCGGGGCATGACGGTGTATGGGCTGCCGCGCCAGGTGTATGACCCCAAGTACTGCCTGAACCCCGAGTACCCGGAGCTGGAGGCCGCCCAAAACCACCACCCACACAACTACTACAACTCCGCCTAGGGCCCTGCGCCCCGCCTTCCCCCCAGGGAGGCTGGCTGCTGCTCGGCTGGGCCTAGCCCGGCCCGCTAACCCCTGCCCCCTGCATGGCGCCCTCCAGCCCCTGGCACCTGCCTACAGGGTTAGCATTGGGGGAGGAGCAGACTGGGGGTCTGAGGGGAGGGGGAAGGGGGCTCTCCTCCCTGGAGCACTGCAGGGTCCGACAGCATCCAAAGGACGCACTGAGCAAAGCTACCCCAGCTGTCCCCCGCTCCCTCACAGGTGGGTTCCCCCAGGACAAGCAGCCCCCCAGCAGAGCCCCCGAGCCCAGGCTCAGCCTGCCCCACCCCATTCCCGCCATGGGAGCCAACTGCATGCCCAGAGACCCAGCGGACACACGCAGTTTGGTTTGCAGCGACTGGCGTACGTGGATGTGACAGCGGTGTGTGTAATGCGAGCACTTTCTTTTTCTACTTCACTGGAGCACAATAAACGGCTATAAAATCATCTGAAGACTCAGTTGCTCTGTCCTAGAGCCTGTATGGCTCTTGCACATGCACAAACAACCTTGCTCAGATACACTGCATTGAGCAAACATACATCTGTACATGCACACATACACCCACACTCTCTATACACACAGACTCACAGCCTCTTGGCTGGACCCAGGACACAGACATGCATTCACATACACACACACACCTCTTGGTTGTACGGTGTGTGTACTCTTGCTGCAGCCTTAGAGGCACCTACAGATACAAGTGCAGTACACACTCCCACATAAAAAGATACATAAAACATTCTCGCCAAAACCAGTTTGGCTCAGCGGTAGAGCATTGGTCTGCGGACTGAAGGGTCCCAGGTTCAATTCCGGTCAAGGGCATGTACATTGGTTGCGGGCACATTCCCGGTAGGGGGTGTGCAAGAGGCAGCTGGTCGATGTTCTCTCTCATCGACGTTTCTGGCTCTCTCTCTCTCTCCCCCTTCCTCTCTGTAAAAAATCAATAATAATTTTTTAAAAAAAGCCCTCTCACATATGTACACAATACCCACACACACATGCTCAGTACCCATGTACTTTGTGAGGAAAGAACTCAAGTGCTGGGATGGGTCAGACGGGTGACCTTGGGCAAGTCACTTCCCCTCTTCAGGTCTGTTTTTCCATCAGGAAAATGGGGACAGCGAGGCTCATGGGGAAGCTTAAATGACTACTCCACATAGGATGTTTGGCACCGACCAATGGACAAGCTGGGTCCTGGAGGCCCCTGTGGGCAGGGGACCCCTTTAGTCCTGGATTGCAATGTGTGGGGTGAGAGGACAGGGCAGGGGCGAGGAGGGCATTTCGGGGGCCCAGAGCAATGGCCTTTACTGGCGGGCACAGAGCAGCTGAGGAGCTGACGGCAGGGCTGCTGTCTTATGCGCCAGGCTCACTCCCTTCTCATAGCTGATCCCCGTCCCGCCTGCCATTCCAGGACCCTAGAAGTCTGTGGCCAGGCCCCCATCCTCCGTTTCAGAAGGGGCCCTGTTCTGTGACGTCAAGCCACCGTCAGGGTTCCAAGGAGAGGATTCAGCCATGCAGGGTCACAGCGCAGCCTTCTCTCCGCCCCTCCCCGGCAGGGGATGAGGCTGGAACGTCAGGGATTGCAGACAGACATCAGACCTACATGCAGATGATTTAGTGCTTGGGGCCTTGTAAACTGGATTCCAGGCGCTCTTGGCCTGGCTACTGTGTGCTGCTCCCGGAGGGCCAGCTCAGAAGCTACGCTGAGGACCCACGCTCCGGGCCCTGCCTCCTGTGGAGAACAGCACCATATTAGCACTTGGTCAGGGAGACTGGGGTGGGCGGGCCCTGGATGCCAGAGCACTGAGCCCCTTTTTCCTGGACCCCGGAGGCCATCCCACCCAGGCCTGTCCACCACCTGGCCCATGACCACTGACTCCTGTCTGGACCAAACCTTACCTGGGGCCTGGGCTGGGAGGTGGGAGCGCCAGGAAGGAGCATCTCATGGGCAGGATGGACCTCAGGGGGCACATGTCAGACCCAGTAGCTGGGCCTAGTGGTCAGGGCTTCCTGCCAACTCACCATATAACTGTTCACATCCCTCAATATCTAGGGTGATTCTAGAGTCGCTCAAACCAAACCTCCATCCACAGTGTGGCCCTAGAGGAAGGTGCCATCATCCTTCCCATTGTACCAATGAGAAATCCAAAACTCAGGCCCCCTGCTGCTCAGGCTCAGGAGGCGGAGCTGGGCCTGCCCCAGGCTACTGAGCGTCAGGAGACCACCTGAGGGCGCTGTGCAATGCCCAGGTGCTCACCATCAGCCGTGCAAAGATGTGTACTTTTCCCAACAATAACCAAGCAAGGAACTCAATTCCGACACCACCCGGAGATAGTGTCAGATCCCAGAGTAAGGGCTCGGTCCGACCGGCTGGTCCTCCTCCACTTCGGCTGCCTTTTCAAGTCCAGGTGCTTGTGACCAGCTGGCTCTATAGTTCAATCCTCAGAGAAACAGGTTGCTTACAGGTTTATTATAAAAGGGCATAACCCAGAACAGCCCAGTGGAAGAGCTGCACAGCAAGGCTGGGGAAGGAGAGGGGAGCTGCCATGTGCTTCATACCCACCCGCTTCCCAGTTCACCAGCCTGGAAGCTCGTCAAACCCTTTTATTTAATTTTTAAAATGAATTTATTGGTTGATAAAATTACATAGGTTTCCCCCTAGCCGGTTTAGCTCAGTGGATCGAGTGTTGGCCTGTAGACCGAAGGGTCCCAGGTTCAATTACAGGCAAGGGCACATTCCTGGGTTGTGGGCTCTGTCCAAAGTGTAGGAGGCAGCCAATAAATGATTCCCTCTCATCACTGATGTTTCTATCTCTCTTCCTCTCTTTTCCTCTCTAAAATCAATAAAAAATGTACTTTTAAAAAATTATATAGGGCCGAAACCGGTTTAGCTCAATGGATAGAGAGTCGGCCTGCGGACTGAAAGGTCCCAGGTTCGATTCCGGTCAAGGGCATGTACCTTGGTTGCAGGTACATCCCCAGTAGGGGGTGTGCAGGAGGCAGCTGATCGATGATTCTCTCTCATTGATGTTTCTAACTCTCTATCCCTCTCTCTTCCTCTCTGTAAAAAAATTTATATATATATGTAAATAGGTTTCAACTGTTCTCCAAATCTTACTGAAGTTTTTAGAGCTTAACCTGTCGTCTCTCCCTGACTCTTCCCAAAGGTGGCTGGGAGTTCCCCTCAGTAATCTGCTGATCTTTCTGGTGACCAGCCCCATCCTGGGTGATCACACTGGAAATTCCAAGAGTTTTAGTAGCTCTGAGCCATGAACGGGGACAAAGATCAATACATATTGTACCACACCCCTGCATCTGGCACCACCTCCAGCCTCCGGGCCTCACCAGCCTGGGACAAAGGTCCCTTTTGAGGACCATTACTCTTCTCCCGAGCTCCCCAGCCCCCACCAAACCAAGAGCTGTCCTCTCAGCCTGTCCCCTGGGAGGTGACGCAGGTGTCCTGGCTTAAGGACCAGCTGTGCTGCTTTCCGGCTGTGGGACCCTGGGCCAGTGACCTCCACCGCTGGCCTTTTCCTCCCCTGCAAGCCTGTGGCACCTGCCTCACAGGGCGGCCCTTGAGAGTTGCCTCCGACAGTCAAGAAGCCTTCCCTGACCACCCTGCTCCTCGCCCCCAGGCTCTGTTGCCCTATTTCTTTTTAAAACATATATTTTACTGATTTTTTTATAGAGAGAAGGGAGAGGGAGAGTTAGAAACATCGATGAGAGAGAAACATTGATCAACTGCCTCCTGCACACTCCCTACTGGGGATGTGCCCACAACCAAGGTACATGCCCTTGACCAAAACTGAACGTGGGACCTTTCAGGCTGCAGGCCGCCTCTCGAGCCACTGAGCCAAACCAGTTAGGGCAGTTGCCCTATTTCTCACTGGAACTAAATGCTTGCCCACATGTCTGTGGGGTCATCCGAGTTCTTTGAGCCCAGCACTGCCATGGTTTTACCTTGGATGCTTGTCTAGTGGACAAGTGTTGGACAGTTGGAAGGACTGACCAAACCCCTTTTACAATGGCCTCCCTCTCCCCCCGCACTGGGCCCAGGGGGCTGACCAGAACCCAGGAAATCAGAGCCAGGAGTCTGCATCGGCTGCTTTATTTAAGGGCTGGTGACTAACAGTCCCCATCCCAGCCCCTTCCTCTTCTATAAAAGCAACTACACATGAACCGGGGCCCCCACCCAGTGGTGTTGAGTCCCAGGCCAGTCCTTCGAAGGCAGAGGAGGGCGTGGGTCCAGTTCACACAGGCAAGGTGCTGGAGAGGGGGAGAGGAGGCGGAGAGTCCTGAGACTGTCTCTGTGGGCTTGCCTCACCCTGGATGTCAGGACACTGGCCCCTGGAGAAGCCAGGGCTCCAGAGCCAGGGAGTCAGGGGTCCAAATGGGGAGCAAGTCAAAGGCTTTTGGAGCCAAGGAGGCAGTTCAGGTCCCCGGAGTTCCCTGCCCCTGAGCACACCCCCATGGCCATACTTGCAGCCAAACATCCACATCCACTGCACACACAGGCAGGGGCTGCGAAGGCCCTGGACCCACACCCTGGACCTCAGGAATGTCTCTGGATTGGTACCCAGTGGGCTGGTCCTCGGCAACAGAGCTGCTAAGGGGGTGGGTCCTCTGTTTTGCTACTGATTGGCGGCCTCACAGGCATCTATCCAATCACTATACACGTCCACTGGTTCTGACAGATCTGAGCCGCTGAAGTCAAGGGCAACTCCCGGCATCCAACACCTCCCTTTCCCGTATACACCTCTGCTGCTCACGCTGACGTCAGCCAGACCCCTGCCCTGCACACTATCATCCCACGTAAGCAAGCAGGTAGCACCCGTTCCTCTGGGTGGCCACAGCCCTGCGCAGGATGCACAGCAAGGCCCGGGTGCAAAGGCTGGTTCTACCCCTTGCCCTTGGGCAGCCCATCCTGAGCAGGGCAGCCCTGACCACCCCACCCTCACCCCTGGGTAAAGCCCAGTTTCCCAAGGATACACGTGATGGGCGTCTGGAATTCCTCTAGGCACACGGTACAAGAGATGACTCCGGTGTTACGGGCACGGTCCCTGGAAAGGGGGGAGATGGAGGGACTGGTAAGCAAAGAGGCCTGAGTTTAAGGGGGAGCCAATTCCCGACTGAGGGCGGAAGGCCCCAGAAGGCAGGATTCCCGGCCCCCAGGCCCCACTCACATTTTCACGTCACAAGATTTCTCGTGGTTGCAGAAGGGGCAGGTGAACTGGGTCTCTAGGGTGCCTGTCATCTTCTTCTTGGGGGGTGGCTTTCGTTTGGACTTTCTGCGCCCCATGTCTGCAGGAGGGCGAACCTGTGAGGGGAGGAGGGCAGATGTCAACAACTCACGGGACCCAGGAGGCCCTCCAGATGCTCCGGGAGCAGGCCGGGAAGACGGTCCAGATGGCACAGTGAGGGGAGGGCTGGCACAGGGGCACCCTCTGGGGACGGCAGACAATTCCGGTGCACTCTGGGTAGAGGGGGTGAGAGCAGGCTCTAGATTCTGCCCCTGCCCCGCCCTCTACTTACTAATGACCTCCAATAGGTTACTTGAGCTCTCTGTGCCTCAGGGAGATGAGGCTGCTACCTCACAGGGGCTGACAGAATCCTAAGTGCTTGCATTGCCTGTGGTCCATCCATCGCTGGCACCTACACAGGAGGCCACTCTTCCTGGGGAGGATAACACAAGTGACTGACAGGCCAGTTGCCCGGGGCTGGGCAGAGCCCAAGTGCTCTGGGGCCGATGATTTCTAGGAGCAGCTGCTCCTCTTGTCAAAAGACACGCCAGGACCACCCCAGAGAATGACATCAAGGGATTTGACAGAGACGCCGACAGGCTCCGTGGGCAGCCTATCCACAGAAGAGGGGTTACTGGACAGAGACGTGTTTCAAGCAGAGAAAGGCCACGTAGAGGGCTGAGGGGCAGGTATCTGAGTGCTGGGCTAGCAGTTGGGGACCACGCAAGTGGGGGAGGGCAGGCTGAAGGGGGAACAGAGGGATCCTGATGGCCAGGGAGAGAAACAACAACCTCACCCTGTGCTTTTAAGGGACTGAGGGATACAGGTAAAAAGTCTGGACAAAGATGGAAGTCAGAACTGGGACAGGGCTGTTTGGGGAGGAGAGAAGCAGCTGGCAAGACTGAAGAGAGAAATCAGTGGGATTAGTGGGTATGGCGAGAGACGGAAGAGTCCAGAACGACCTCCGAGGTTGTGATGGGCAGGGGCTGTGTCGAACACTGAAGAACAGAGTTGTTAAAAATGAGTCAGGTGCCGAAACCGGTTTGGCTCAGTGGATAGAGTGTCGGCCTGCGGACTGAAAGGTCCCGGGTTCGATTCATTCAAGAGCATGAACCTTGGTTGCAGGCACATCCCCAGTAGGGGGTGTGTAAGAGGCAACTGATTGATGTTTCTCTCTCATCGATGTTTCTAACTCGCTATCCCTCTCTCTTCCTCTCTGTAAAAAAATCAATAAAATATATATTTTTTTAAAAATGAGTCAGGTGCCATTGGGACATATGTCTTGGAGGCAGAGACCACTGGAAGAATTTCTATGCCAGGCGCTGGGCTCAAGGCTCTGCATTCACCGTTCCTGAGCCTTCCAATGGGCTCCCCCTCTCTCCCAATCACACTCTGTCTTTCTCTCTCTCTCCACTGCTGGTTCTGTGATCATTCCTCCATGACAGAGGAGGTCGGCAATCTGCCAGAAGAAAGGCCAGAATTTCATTCATATGTAGCAATCACTTTCCATGTAACATCCTCATTCATTTAAAAAAATTTTAAAGCCTGGCCAAGTGGCTCAGTGGTTGAGTGTCAGGAGGTCACTGTTCCATTCCTGGTCAGAGCACATGCCCAGGGTGTAGGAGGCAGAAAATCAATGATCCTCTCTCTCTCTCTTTCTCTCTGAAATCAATAAAAATATATTAAAAAAAATTTTTTTTTAAACTTTTCATTACAGTTTACATTCAACATTATTTTGTATTAGTTGCAGGTGTACAACATAGTTGTTAGACAATCATATACTTTACAACTATTCCCCTGATATTCCCAGTACCCAATTGGCACCATACAGTATTACACTGAATTTCCTAGGCTGTACTTTACAGACCCATAAGTATTTTGTAACTACCAATTTATGTTTCTCAATTCCTTCCACCTTTTTCAGCGAGCTCAAAGCCCCTTGCCTCTGGCAACCATCAGTCTGTCCTCCACATTTATGAGTCTTTTCTGTTTTGTTTGCTTGTTTATCTTTTTTTTTTTTTTACAGAGAGGATGGGAGAGGGATAGAAAGTTAGAAACATCAATGACCCTTCAGTCTGCAGGGTGACTGAGCCAAACCAGTTACAGCTGCTTGTTTATCTTATATTCCACATATAAGTAAAATCATATGGCATTTGTCTTTCTCTGACTTATTTCACTTGGTATAATACCCTCTAGGTACATCCACGTCGTGGCAACATCCTCAATTTTAACTGTGGATGTGTCCAAGTCACTTTGTAAACAAAAACAGCGGGCAGAGCACATCCCATGTGGCCTTCCCTCCTTTGCCTTGGACGGATGTTCGAGGTCCCCATAAAAACAATTTGTGCCCTGGATCCCAACATCACATTTTCTGTCTCTACTAGGTCATTAACAAACAATTAAAAAGCAAATCAAAAAACAAACCACCACAAAACAAAACACCTCCTTCTCTGCAGTTGCTAGGAGAGCTGTTTTCCCTCCCATACTCTCTACCACCAGCCTCATGCTGCCCGCCCCAGGGGCAGTCCCCACTCCTCAGGGCACTGGACGCTGGTTTTCTCTTCCTGCCCTTCCCATGGGACCCTCAGAACCTGCATCTTACACCCCTGATTCACTCTCTGCTGCTGACCTCCCTCCGATTCTCTAACGAGGGGCCCACAAGCTCAGTCTCTGGGCCCCTCTCCTCTGCCGACACTCCCCTCCATGGAGATCTCACCCAGCCTCAAGGCTTCCATGCCTCTTCCACACTGATGCCACCGGCCTCTCTGGCCTTGATGTGACCTCTGAACCACAGACTCACCCTCTGCTTGTCTTGGTCACACCTCCATCTGATGCTAAGCAACGTTTAAAAGTAACCTGTCGAAAACTGAGCTCCTGACACCTCAACCTGCTCTCTCCCAGTCTTCCCCGTCTCAGCAGACAGCAGATCAGTCTTTCCAAAAACCTCGGACTCATCCTTGATTCCTCTCTCTCTTACACCCAGCTCTTAATCTGATCCTGATCCCGCTGCTCCTCTAAAACACACTCAGAACCTGACTTCTCACCACCTCCGGGGCTACTGTCCTGGTCTGAGTCCAGAGTCCTGGTCATCTCTGGCTTGGGTGATCACAACAGCCTCCCCATTGGTCTCCCTGCACCTCCACATGTAAATTCCACGAGGCCAGGGACTTGGCATTTCTTCGTATCCTCGGAGCCGAGAATTGTTCATGGCACAGAGCTAGCACTCAACAAATATTTACTGAGCCAATGAGTGAATAAAGTAACGCCAGGCCCAACACTACACCACACCAATGCTGCAATCAAGGCAGGCAAGGTTTCTGCTCTGGTGAAACTTCTATGGAAATCACTCCAAACATTGGTAAGCCCTACAAGGTCAATACCAGGGCGAGGTGAAACACCTCCGGAATGGGGCTGCTTCAGATAAGGGCAGCGTGGGAAGGACCTCTGCGTAAGTCACTTAAGATGAAACCTGAATGAGGACGAGAAGGCACTGTGCAAGGTAGTCAGTCCAGGCAGAGGGAACAGCAACTGCAAAGGCTTTTCTCCAGAAAGAGAAAGACTGATACAGCGGAAGCTCCTGAACAACGGGGAGATGGGTATGAGATGCGGCAGAAGCGGGAAGCAGCAGCCAGACCCCACAAAACCCTGCAGACTTCAGTAAGGTGTAGTCAGTTCTGGAGCCCGTGCTATCACTCACCAGGGCAGTTTCCCCCCCAAAGTCCAGCCCTGGGTACCCCCTGCAACTGAATCACCTGGGGGCCCTCCGAAAAGGCTGATTTCTGAGCCTCACCCCAGATCTACCCACACTGAGATGTCAGTTCTGAGAGGGGTCGGGGCGTGACTTGCCCGCTGCTGAAGCCCCAGGATGCATAGTGACGGGTACGCATTAAGTGCTCAGTAACTCCGAGTTGAATGAACAAATGAGTCTCCAGAATCAGACGCTAGAGATGTCTCACCCCGCCCCATCTCATTTTACCCGGTGACTACAATACCCCACCCACCACAGAACAGGGGACTGGCCTGCCATTAAGCCCCAGGTCCCTCGGCCAAACGCGCCGACAGAGGGACGGAAGGGGGTCGGCCTCCGATCCTCTGGAGGCGGAGGGCGGGCGGTCCCTACAGGCTCACCCAGGCTTCGGCGGCGCCTCCGAGCAGCGCGCTCAGCCGGCTGGGACCCGGGGGAGTCAAGCTCCCTGACGGGCCCCCCTCCAACCCCCGGGCCCTCGGCGCCCCCTCCTGTACCCCGTGAGCCGCCCCGAGTCGAAGAGCACCCGGCCCGCCCGGCTCCAACGCCCTCCCGCGTGCACCGTCACCTGCACCAGCCTTCCCTCCTGGCGACAGCCTCGTTCACCCGGGAGACAGAGACTTCCGCCTCTCAGCGGAAGCGGAACCCCTTAGGCCCTTACGTCCCGCCCACCCGCAGCCGGGATAAGCCAATAGCAGGACCCGCCTCCGCCAGCATCTTTCTGTGCGCATGCGTGCTCATGGGGTAGAGGGGAGGGGAGGGGAGCCGGCGGGAGTTTCGCAGTGCGCCTGCGCGTGGGCTTGAGCGCGTTAGAGGATTACTTCTCTTCGTTCCCGCCTTTCAGGGCCGTTGGGCTCGGCCATCCCTGAGCTGGAAAGGCATCCTGTCCTGGGTCGCAGAATCCTCTTGGGGATGCCTCTCCCCATTCAAACCCCAGCCCCTCGCAGCCCACCCAGCTCTCCCCAACGTGGGACACGTTAGTAAACTATCCCGGAGCTGGGGACTCCTTACCCTCCCCACGGGGGGGAGTCTGTGCTTGTTCTTCAATCATTTCCACCTTTGCTATAAAAATAAATAAATAAATAAATAATAAAATGTCCTGGTGCTAAGGAGATGCAAATACTACTATGGCTGGATCAGGGGGCGGGGGGAGCTTGTAAGACGCTCTTCTCCAACGTGAACAACCTTTGGGTCTTGCTACAATTCTGCCTTTGGTCATTGGTGACCTTGGTAAGAACTGTTTCATTGGAGTGTTCCGGAAAATAAACTTGTGACATGTGTGTCAAATGGACCTGTTCCCAAGGTTCCCACGAGGGGGCAGTGTTACCCTTGGAAGCCCCCTTCTCAGTGCTGGTTACAAACCTGAACACACACAGATGGGATCCTACAGTGAGCCGCTGCCTTGCAACCTGCTGTTTCCCCTTAACGGTCGGTACACATACAGATAACGCTTGTTTTCAGTAGCCACATAAGTCATTGTGCAACTCTGCCATGGCCTATGAACAGTGCTCTATTTGCTGAAGGGTAGTGTTTCCTGCCTCCTTCCCTTCCTTCACAGCTTTATTGAGATAATGGAGCATCCATCTTATATAAAAACTGCTGTTTAAAACTTTAACCCTGCTATTTTGGCTTCTGTAAAGCCTTGCTTGCTTAAATAATAAGAAAAATAAGACGACTCCAGAGAGGCCATAAACATTCCCCAGACGAAGTTATTGGTGCTGGAGCCAGGCCAAGCCTTTGGTTGAGGTCTCAAAGCCCCAGCACATAGGGGCTCTTAAAAGAACTTGCAAAGGGGGCCAGAAACACCCCATATTTTGGAGATAAAGAAGGTAAAACATATAAATAGGGAAAGTTCCTCTATTTTGGGGCCCAGAATTTGAAAGACATTTTCCTCTGAGCCTGCACATAAATGTAACTCCATCTCTCTAAGCGTTGCTTGGTTCTTCTCTGGTTTTCTGTAACAATACTACAGGCCCCATGCATGAATTTCTGTTTGGGTGGGGTCAGGGCAGATGGGGCCCCCTGGTCAAACTCCCCATGGAGAGGACAATTTGCATATTAGCCTTTTATTTTATAGGATAATAGACAGATAATAAGCCGCTTGTATTTAAACTGACATTTTATGTCCTGACATATGGATATACACGTGAAACTATACAATCAAGATAGTGAATGTTTCTATCACCCCAATAAGTTTCCTGCTGTTTCTTGGTATCAGTTCCTTCCCTGCTCCTAGACCCTGGCACCAACTGCTCTGTTTTTATTTCCTATAGCTTTATATTTTTTCAGAAAGTCACATGAACAGAATAATATAATACGTAGCCTTTTGATTTTACTCAGCTTACTACCTTCAAGTCTATGTTGTATCTATCAGCAGTTTGTTCCTTTCTATGTTGAATTATATTCCCTTATGAAGATACTAGAGGCCCAGTGCATGAAAATTCATGCACTGGAAGGGGTGGTCACTCAGCCCAGCCTGCCCTCTCTCACAGTCTGGGAGCCCTCAGGAGTGGGAGGCAACCTGGCAATCAGGGGAAGGTAATGCTCCATCACACCTCTGCTGCTGCCACTGCCTGCAGCACAAGTCTTGGCTGGCCCTGGTTACTGAGCCTTGGGTGGCCCTGGGTGGCTGGGCAGCTGAGGGGACTGGACACCTCCATCTTGTGGCTGTGGGCGCTGCCATCTTTAAGGCCATGGCAGTTAATTAGCATATTCTTCCTTATTGGCTGTGGTGTCGCCATCTTTGAGGATAGAGCAGTAAATTAGCATATTTCTTCCTGATTGGCTGTGGGTGCCACCATTTATGTGACAGTGTGAGAGTCAATTAGCATATCTGCTTTTTATTAGATAGGATACCAGGCTGTTTATCCTTTCAACTATTGCTGGACATTTGGGATGTTTCCAATTTTGGGACTATGTTGAATAGAACTACTATGAACCACCTCATTGACAGCTTTGTGGGGATACTCATTTTCATCTTCTACTCTTTTATTTTTACACTGAAATATGTGATTCCTCTGGAATTTATTCTTGTATATGGTTGGAAGTAGGGTTCAAGCTCTGTCTTCTGGGCAATTCAACAAGGCAAATTATCCCTTTTCTTATAAAGTTGCAATGCCACCTTTAACCTACATCACATTCTCGTGTGTTCTTAGAATTTCTGGATTCCCTCTGGACATTTTCCTGAAGCCAGTGTCATGCTGGCTTTTATATTTTTTTTAATGTTTTCAAAATATGTATTTTTTATTTTTAGAGAGGGAGAGAGAGGGAGAGAGGAGCATCATTGATTGACTGCCTCCTGCACAAACCCCTGCTGGGGATCAAGCCCACAACCTGGTTATGTGCCCTGACCAGGAATCAAACCAATTGAACCGGTAAACTCTTGGTTTCTGGGTCAACACTCAACTGCTGAGCCACACCACCTGACAGCTTTGCTTCATTTTAGCAGGGCAATGTTGTGCTGTGTTTTTTGTTTGTTGTTTTTTGTTTTTAAAAATATATATATTTTATTGATTGTTTTACAGAGAGGAAGGGAGAAGGATAGAGAGCTAGAAACATTGATCAGCTGCCTCCTGCACACCTCCCACAGGGGATGTGCCCGCAACCAAGGTACATGCCCTTGACCGGAATCGAACCTGGGACCTTTCAGTCCTCAGGCCAATGCTCTATCCACTGAGCCAACCTGATCAGGGCTATTGTGCTGTTCTGATGACGGTGCATTTTGCTGTGTGGTAAGGCAGGTCTCTCACCTTCTGATTCATGATTCTTGGAAGCGGGTGAGGAGGTGGGTGTGGCCCGACTCTCTGGAGACAACCTGTTGCTGCTTGAGGGAGATGGTGCCCATTCTGGCACTCGGCGTGGGGAGTGGAGAGGGGCCTGATACTGTCCTTGGTGACGGAATCAGAGGTGGTTGCTCAGGAAGAGTGAGGACAGTGGTTTCTGCAGCTGCCCCTGAGGAACTCGGTTATCTTAATCCTTGCCGATGAGAAGGCATCCTTCTAACAAAGGCTGCATGCTGGGTGGCATTGTTCCCTGAGCCGGAGCCAAGCTCTCTGAGCGGGACTGCCTACCCTGCCTTATTCTTTTGGGTGCTCCTGGGTCCCCAGCTCTCTGCAGAGGACTCGGTCCTTGGTGCTTGGTAGCAGTACTCAGTACTTGGCCATTGTGGAGGAGGGGCCAACCCCATCCCTGCCACTCGCTCCCCGTGTCGACTCTGATGTGTCACTTCTCCTTTCCACGCGCTGGGCCCCGTGAACCAGGACATTGGGCTAATTCCACGCTTTAGGCCCCACCAATAGCACATGGGGCTGCCCGCTGACTCAGACCATCCCTGCCCAGAGCCTCTGAGTCAGTGGGAAGAGGCAGGGTGGCTGTGAGCGGCGGTGACTGTCTCGGTGAAGACTGAGAGTCTGCCAACTCCCTGGCATGACCTTGGGCACGCAACCCGCTCAGTTTCCGTAATGTCCTCCGAGAAGCAAGGTTGATCGTGGCCCTTCCCTCGCGGTCAGGATTAGAATTTTTTTATTTTTTATTTTGGCATAAAGCTTGGCTGGTAAGAATGCCAGCCGGGTAAAGGCAGTTGGAAAGTGCTTAGGGCTGGTCTTTGGGTAGGATGGCTTTGCTTAACTCTAGCAGTAACACGTGTATCTTGTAACAGATCCAACCCTGTGGACATCTCTTTTTTTTTTTTTTTAATATATTTTATTGATTTTATACAGAGAGGAAGGGAGAGAGATAGAGAGTTAGAAACATCGATGAGAGAGAACCATCGATCAGCTGCCTCTTGCACACCCCCTCCTGGGGATGTGCCCGCAACCAAGGTACATGCCCTTGACCGGAATCAAACCCGGGACCCTTCAGTCCCCAAGCCGACACTCTATCCATTGAGCCAAACTGGTCCCGGCTGGACATCTCTTGAGTAGCCCCCGGAAGGCGCCCCTTCCCCGGGTTCCTGCCAGCAGTGGCCTCGGTGACTTTGTGTCTAGGCTGTTTGGCGTCCCTGCCCTGGAGCAGCTGAAGCAGCAGATGAGGGCGGATCAAAGGAGAAGTTTTGGTGACTGGGCTGGAGCTGGTGGTTGTTACTCAACTTTCCCAAAGGGGAACTTGCTTCTCTGCAGCCTTCAGCTTCCACCACAAGAAACAAGCCTGAGCCCTGGCTGGTGTGGCTCAGTGGATAGAACGTCGGCCTGCGGATTGAAGGGTCCTGAGTCAAGGACACATGCCTGGGTTGCGGGCTTGGTCCCCAGTAGGAGGCAGCCAATCAATGATTCTCTCTCACCACTGATGTTTCTATCTATCCCTTTTCCTTCCTCTCTGAAATCAATAAGAAATATATTTAAAAAAAAGAAAGAAACAGGCCTGAGTCCTGCTGGTAGCTCACTTGGCTAGTGTGGTCCTCATACGTCAATGTTGCGGGTTCGATATCAGGGCAGGGCATAGAAGAAGCAACCAGTGACTGCATGGATGGGTAGAACAGCACATTGATGTTTCTTTCTCCCTCTCTCTCTCTCTTTCCTTCCTTCCCTTCCACCCTCTTGCTGTCTCCATGAAATCAATCAATCAATCAATCAATCAATCAAAAGTCCTCTTACAGAAAAAGAAACAGGCCCTCCACAATTCCACTTCTGGACTTTTTTTTTACATACATATTTGCACAGATGTACAAAAGCCTGGGTCCAGGACTGCATACAATTCCATAGCTATGTTGGTAAAAGGAAAAGATTGGAGATTCCAACGGGGCCCCAGCGAGGGACGGGTGACAGAGGTGGAAGCTCTGTGCCTGTTAAAAGGAATGGCAACAGGAAGAAAACACACACACACACACACACACACACACACACACAAGAACGGCAGTCCTGCTCTTTGGAATGTGTCTTGTTTATTCTACAAACTTACCCGCCCATGCAGGAAACAGGGACAGGGTGATTGATGGTGGCTTTGTTTGAGGATAGCAATTGGATGCGATCCTGGCAGCCCTCAGGAGATGGCTGGTTCGATAGGCCGTGGAGCAGGCACACGGTGGGGCCTCCGTAGCTGTGGCCACAGAAAGAGGCGGAAGCGCGGAGAGCAGATGGGCAGATCTCCAGGGTAACAGGCAGGAACAGGAACCTACCTTTGGGGGTGTGGGACATGCCTATTCCTGTATCTAAACTGTGGTAGGTGTTTATGGAACTGTGTGCTTTAAAAACATGGTTTTAATTAGTTTTTTTAGAGAGAGGAAGGGAGAGGGATAGAGAGACAGAAATTTCAACGAGAGCCTGCCTCCTGCAGGCCCTCTACTGGGTATTGAGACCCAATCCCAGGCATGTGCCCAGACTCGGAATCAAACCCATGACCTCTTTCGTTTGTGGGCGGATGCTCAACCACTGAGCCACACCAGCCTGGCTGGAACTGTATGCTTTCAATGTGTCAATTACACCTAAATAAAGTTGGTTTGGAAAACACACACACACACACACACACACACACACACACACACACACAAAGCCAGGTGCAGATCAGTGAGGAGACAAAGGCATTCATACTTGTCTTTATTTGCATTGAGATATATGGAAGGAAACAAAGCCCTTATAAAAAATTGTTTCTTTTGCCGAAACCGGTTTGGCTCAGTGGATAGAGCGTCGTTCTGCAGACTGAAGGGTCCCGGGTTCAATTCTGGTCAAGGGCATGTACACTGGTTGTGGGCACATCCCTGGTAGGGGGTGTGCAGGAGGCGGCTGGTCGATGTTTCTCTCTCATCGATGTTTCTGACTCTCTATCCCTCTCCCTTCCTCTCTGTAAAAAAATCAATAAAATAGATTTTTAAAAATTGTTTCTTTTTAGGAGAGGGGGCGGGAAAGAGAGGGAGGTGATGGGAGACTTCACCCTGAGCCACGTGACCTTATTAGCAATTTCGTGTTGAAACGAACAAAATGAGTGTTCTGTTAAGGACAGCTGAATTGTGGTTAAGGAGGAAGAAGGGTTGTGGTTAACTAGAAAGCAGGTGCAGCACTGAGTGGGGACGGTGTTGTTTTGCATAAAGAAGGATGTTTTGCTGATGGAGGCACCAGTGACGGTGTGGCTGCCCCTGGGGAGCTGGGCTGGGAGAGGAAGGCTTGTTTTGTACCTTCCCCTCCCCTCCCCCCGTTTGGCCTTTTTTGTGTGTGTGTGTGTGTGTGCAGCAAAGCAAGCAAGAATTTATTGAGAAGCAAAGGCACACTCAGAACAGTGAAACAAGGAGGGGTTCGGGGAGGCACTTTTGCAAGGCTCACTGGGAAGGCAGAGAAAAGGGGACCGAGACAGGTTCAGGGGGTGAGCCTGGGACGAGCTGCTGCTAGCTGCTCCCCTGGTTGCAAGCCTTGTGGGGTCCCTTAGGGCCTAGGAGACGCCTATCTGTGGGAGAATAGGAGGAAGGGAACGGTGCACCTCGTTCAGTCCTTCCTTAAAGCCATATCCATGTAGGGGCCCAGCTGGCTGCGGATGGGGGTAAGAGATGGAGTTACAGGCCAGCAAGGGGTGCGGGGGCAGACACTCAGGTGATGCAACTCGCCAGGGTCAGGAAAGGGACATTTGCAATCTTGCATTTATTTATTTATTTATTTATTTATTTAATGTTTTTATTGGTAACAATTAACAATTAAAAAAAAAATTTAGAGAAAGAGGGAGGGAGTGGGAGGAAGGAAGTGAGAGAGGGGAAACCTTGATGAGAGCTAAACATGGATCGGCTGCCTCCTGCACGCTCCCCCTCTGGGGCCAGGCAACCCCCTGGCACGGGCCCTAATGAGGAATGGAGCTGGCGACCTTTCGGTGTATGGGACGACACGCAAGCAACTGAGCCACACCGGCCAGGGCGCATCTATTCTTTTATTGAATGTTTGGCAGTGACAGGAGGATGCCAGGTTCAAGAGCGTGGTTCCCCTGAGAAGTCCTGCCAAGGTGTGGGGGTCCCAGGGGGGCCCACCACGGCACTGGCAGGGGAGTCTCTCCGCCTCCGGCCCCTCACAAGCGCCCCAGCCGGGCTTGCCGGGGCAGCTTGGTCTTGAAGAGGGACTTGCCCGAGGCCTCGACGTAAGTGATGCTCATCTCCTTGGGGCCGATCTCCACGTGGGCGAAGCCGCCCAGCGAGTCCTCAGCCCCGTAGTGGAAGCGCAGGTAGCCGCTGGGGACCCTGCGGAAGTGCCTCCGCGAGGGGTCCATGAAGTTGCCGGCCCCGCTCAGGACGTAGCCGATGCCGCTCTCATCCTGGAGGTACTGCGGGCGGAGGCTCGGGTCAGGGCGGCCCCCAGCCCGGCCCCTCCCGGAGGCCGACCGCGGGCTTGGTGCCCACCTCTCCGCAGCCCAGGCTCTCCAGTCACTTTGGGAAAGCAACATACACCCCCTGAGGGCCTCAGTCCCCCCCCCCCCCCACACACACACCTGCAGGAGTGCATGGATCCTACTTCCCACGTCTGCCCTGAGTAAGCCACTGGCAACTGGTAGCCATCATGATAGCTTTGGGGGGAAACTTGGGGTTCTTTCCCTGGTTAAAGAACATAGAGTGTGCGCCGAAACCGGTTTGGCTCGGAGGATAGAGCATCGGCCTGCGGACTGAAAGGTCCCGGGTTCGATTCCGGTCAAGGAATCGAACCTTGTACCTTGGTTGCAGACACATCCCCAGTGGGGGGTGTGCAGGAGGCAGCTGATTGATGTTTCTGACTCTCTATCCCTTTCTCTTCCTCTCTGTAAAAAATCAATAAAATATATTAAAAATAAAATATATTGGTTAAAAAAAAAAAAGAACATAGAGTGTGGCCGAAACCGGTTCGGCTCAGTGGATAGAGCGTCGGCCTGCGGACTGAAAGGTCCCGGGTTCGATTCCGGTCAAGGGCATGTACCTTGGTTGAGGGCACATCCCCAGTAGGGAGTGTGTGTGCAAGAGGCAGCTGATTCTCTCTCATCGATGTTTCTATCTCTCTATCCCTCTCTCTTCCTCTCTGTAAAAAAAATCAATAAAATAAAAAATAAAAAAAATAAAAAAGAACATAGAGTGTGAGGGAGCGTGACATTTGGGTGGGGGGATCCCCCAAACGACAGGAGGATCCCCATGTGCCACGCGGCACATCCACTGTGGTGGTGGCCCCTTACCTGCCCCCCCCCCCCCCCCCCCCCGCAGGCCCCTCACCTGCAGGTTGTGGTCGTGGCCGCACAGGTAGGCGGTGACCTTGTACGTGGCCAGCAGCGGCTGCAGCCGGCGGACCAGGCAGTGGGTGGGGCCGTGCTCGGCGATGGACCACACCGGGTAGTGGCCGGCCACCAGCACGTAGTCCTCCTGGGCCGCCGCCAGCTGCTTCTTGAGCCAGGACAGCTGCGTGCGGGCCAGCTGCGGGTCGCGGGGCCGCTGCGGCTGCTGGCTCAGGAAGTCGTCCGAGTTGCCACACAGGGTCACCGTGTCCAGCATGAAGATGGCCACGGAGACGTTGGACCGCGGGATCTTGAAGCGCAGGCGGTAGTAAGGGCTGGGGAAGTTCCTGGGGAGGGCACGGGGTGGAGAGGGTCTGCCCCAGGGTCCGCTCGGGCCCGCGGGGCCCCTGGTGCCCCTGAGCGAGGCCCGGGGGGCGGGGAAGGGTGGGGGGAGAGAAGGCTCACCAGCGCTTGGAGACCTTCGAGTAGGCGATCTGCGCCGAGACGTTGCCCAGGTGGTCGTGGTTGCCCGCCAGCACGTACCAGGGCACGTTGCGGAGGGAGGGGTCGGAGAACACATCCTCGAAGGTCTCCTGCAGCGGACAGAAGGGGCACCCCCACCCCAGGGTGTCAAGCAGCACCCCAATGCCCCCACCAACCCAGGAGCATTGAGAGACGTGGGCGGGCGGCCTCCCTCCGCCGCCCTCGCCCGGAGGGGGAAGCTGGCCCGGCTCCTCCGGGTGTCCCGCCCCGGCGCGGCCCGCACCTGGAACCGCTTGTCCTCGGCGTCCCGCACGCCCGTGAAGTAGAAATTGTCCCCCAGCGACAGGATGAAGTCTGCGCCCAGGATCTTGGCGGTCCTGGCGATCTCCTTGGCGTTGGCCGTCTCCCGGGCGGTGTAGAAGGGGGCGTTGGGGACGCCGCCCCAGTCCCCCACGGCCACGAAGCGCAGGGCGGGCGCGGGGGCGGCGCCACGCGCGGGCGGGAGCGCCAGCAGGGCCTGCAGGACCAGCAGCACTGTCCTTGGGTCCATCTGGGGGCGAGAGACCAGTGTCCGGGGACCTGGTGCCGAGGGGCGTGGGCAGGAGACCCCTGCCCCGCTGTGGGCCGGCGGGACCCCCCTCCGGGTGCCCTAGTTCCCGGACGTCAGGGCAAGGTTGGCCGGGAGGCTGAGCGGGCAGGTGGCGGCCGGCCAGGGGCCAGGAAGGGCGGCCACGCAGGCCCGTCTGCCCGCCCTCACCCGGCCCGGCACTCACCCTGGCGCAGGCACTGGCCGGCCGCTTGGCACCGTCCGAGGGGCAGCTGCGTTCCAGGCGGGCCGGGCCGGGGTCACCGAGCCTTTATGCTCTGGGGCGGAAGCGGGTCATTGGCGAGGATGAGGCAGTTTCTCCGGGCCGTTCCCGGAGCCTCCCCCTGGGTCATGTGAGCCCTGGAGTTCCCCAGCCGGGGCGGCGGGCAGGCGGGCGGGCGGGTGGACGGGGGTCTGGCAGTCACGGCTCTGCCCCGGGGGCTTGTCTGTGCCGGGGCCTGAGCCGCCGCTCTGCACGCTGTGTGCGCCCCGGCAGCCAGGTCCGGCCTGTGTCCGGCGTGTCTGAGCCGCTGAGGTCACATGTCTGCCTGGCAGTCCCGTGTCCCCCAGCAGGCCAGGCCCCGGTGGCTGTGATGTGTGCCAGGAGCTGTGTGGGGCGATGGTTGGGAGTCCCTGCTTGGTGCCTGGGTGGTGTTGTGTGTGCCTGCACTGTGTCTCCAGCGTGAGTTGTGTGTGTATGGTGTGTGTGGTGTGGGTTGTGAGTGTGACAACATCTGAGTATGTGTGTCCCAGGGTCACCCCCCCACCCCCCAACAGTAGGGTCCCCTTTTCCAGGAAGTCCTGCCCACACCCTTCCCCTCCCTGCTCCCATTCCTGCAGGAGGAACCCAGGCAGGAGGCAGCTGATGGCGCCGCATGTGACCTCGGGCTTCTAACCCTCACCCTGCGCGGGGCTGGAGGCTCCCCAGGAACCCCAGCCGCTGGGACCGGCGCCCGGCCCCGGGACTTACCCTGCGCTCGCGGCCGCCCTCTTCTGGCCGGAACGGCCGCTGCACTCAGGCGGCGCCCCAGCCCCGCGGGGTGAGCAGGCGCGGGTCGCCCAGGCGGCGGGCAGTCCAACAGGAAGCGGGTCACAAGGACCGGGGACCCCTCCCTCCGCACCGGCAGGGCGGGTCTCACCTGCGGTTGGCTGGGCCCGGGGTCAAGGTCACCGCCAGGCGCCGGGGAGCCGCGCGGGGCGCTCGCAGCGGGGCTGCCCTGCCCCTGGCGGCGGCGGCCCGGCCTCCCGGCCCCCGGCCCCTGAGCTCGGGGTGCACCAGGGGTGGCCCAGGGGTGGCCCCGGTGTGCACCCAGGGGTGCTCGGGCCCTGCTCCCACCTGGCGGGAGCCCCGCCCCGGATCCTGCCCGCCGCCCCGCCCCCGGCGCACAGACTGGGGCTCCGGACGCGGTTTCGGGGCCGGAGCCGCCGCCCGCTTCACACTTGGGCGCCGCAGCCCAGCCCGGGTCCGGGGGTGGGAGGGGCCTTGCCCTGGGCCGGGCCGCCGTCTGGGGAGGAAGTCCTCAGCCTCAGTCTTCTGGTCTTTAAAATGGGTGTGAGGGCCAGTGAGTCAACTCTTCCTTAGGAAGAATCCCAAATCATGTCCGTCAAAGGCCCCTGGGGAGCCAGAACTCGGCATTTCCAGCCTCCTTTTTAAAAAGAAAAATTTATTGATTTAAGAGAGAGAGATAGAAACATTGATGATGAGAGGGAATCATTGATCGGCTGCCTCCTGCAGGCCTCCCCCCACCCCCTATTCTGCTCCATGGAAAGGGCGTCAGTCGATCCCAGTCCAGGGCACTTATCTGGGTTGCAGGCTTGATCCCTGGCAGCCCTGATCGGGGCACATGCAGGAGCCAGCAAACTGATGTCTCTCTCTCACATCAGTGTTTCTGTGTGTCTCTCCTCCTCCCTCTCACTCTCTCTAAAAATGAATGGAAAAAAATATCCTTGGGTGAAAATGAACAAAAAACAAAAATAAGAAACAAAAATGGGATGCTAGTGATACTATTTTATAGTCTTAAAGTGTTAACTATATATATTTTAATTAAAAAGTATGCAAAAGCGTGTGCACACGACTTTGTGCAACCTGTGCAGTGAAACCTGTGGGTTCTTGACTATCGCTCTGTCATCCCCCGGATTCTGAACCCGCTGTTCTCCCTCCGTTTGCCAGGGGTGCCTGCTCTGCTGGTTTTCTGTGAGGGTGGATCAGGGTTTGGCTCAGAGCCTCCTGCCCCCTCCAGCCCTGCCTGGCTTCCCAACGGCCACGTCAATCAATTCTCCCTGTGGCTGGGTTCTTCCTTTGGCACCTCTGTGTCCTCCCCTTGCTCTTCTCTGGCCTTTTACTCTCCTGGAATAGGGCCACACTCTGACCTCAGGACCTTGGCGCTTGCTGTTCCATTTGCCTAGAAGGCTCTTCGCTTTCCAGATCCCACCCCCCCCAACCCTGTGCTCCTTTCCCGCTGATTTCAAGTTTCTTTATCTACAATGCACCCTCCACCCCCAGCGGACTCCCCCTCCTGCTGCATTTTTCCCTGTCCCCCTTATCATGCTCCGACAAGCCACACATCTTTCTGGTTGGTCTCTGCACCAGACAGATGGCCGCTGGGATAAGAACGTCTCGGTCTGGCTCCCTGCGGGGTGTCCCTGGCCTCTGGAATCCAGGCGCACGAAGGCAGCTGCTCACGTGGGGGAGGATGGAGCGAAGGGGTGCCCTGCAGGACTCCACTTCCCCCCGGTTTGAATGTGCAGCCTCCCGGACCCGCTCCTGGCTTCATGCCCTGAGCAGATTCCACCAACTCCGTGCCGGCGGCTTCGGGCCCAGTGTCAGTGCTGCTGTGGTTGGTAATCTGCCCTGGAGCATCTCAGAGAGACTTCAGTGACCGCTGGCTAGATTGGGCATCTCTCTCACATCCTGGTCGCAGCCCTCCAGTCACACGAAGGCAGCTATTCCCACCTCAGGGTCTTTGCTCTCGCTGTTCTCCCCACTGGACCCGCTCCCCCCACCCCTCTGCCATCGAGTACCTGGCGGAAGTGCCACCTCCTCAGACAACCCCGATACAGTTAGCACCCCAGCACCTACTTCTCAGTGCCCACCATTGTCAAGCACCCTTTCCCTATCCTCCCCCAGGGAGTTCCCATGGTGCAGGTCTGAGTGGACACCCAGTGCACATTCAATGGGGCCAGGGCGGGCACTGGGCTAACATTCCTCTGACAAGCACCGGTCAGTGAGGGGAGGTGGGCACCAACTGGCAGGAGGGGTCTGAGGAGGGCGGGGGGGGGGAAGAGGCCACTGGGAGATGTCAGGAGGTGGGGAACGGAGGCTGAAGGGGCTGTAGGAACAAGGTCCTGGAGCTATGGAGTGGGCGCTTGATCTGGAGAGTGACAGGTTTGGAAGATGGGGTCATTAACGAAAAAACCATTGAAACCTGTAAAGAATGTTAGTGAGCTTATTTGAGCCAAACTATCAACATATGCTGGGGAGCAGAACCTCAGCGGATTGAGATAATGCTTCGAAGAATGGCGGGTCACATTTCTCTATTTATACATTGCAATCAAAGGAGGGACATAGGTGGGTTACATGAAATTCATTGGTGATGGAGTAAGGAGGTGGGAGAAAGCAAAGTGGAGGGAAACCCCTGGGATTGGATAAAAATAAAATGAAGGACGTGTACTCACTCAGGTGAGTGCAGGAACAATTAACATGATAACGAAGGAATGTGGGGCATCTGTCCTGGCGCCCACCACATTTGGTTGTGCCCCAGGGGCTCCGGAAAAAGGGAAGTTACAAGTTACCCAGACATCTCACAGGTATGTTATCTTAGACGCAGGAAGGCAGATGGGCTCAGTAAAGAAGATCTAAGTTGATCTTTGTCAGGTGAAATATCGGTCTAGGAAATGACTACCCACTATAACCTGTTTGTGTTAGATATTTAATTTTCAAACCATCTTTTGTGGTTTTTTTAGGTCTCTGAGTTTGCAAGACAGCTACGCAGGCCCTCCCTGAGCTTGTCAGGTTGGCATGTGGCTCTTTTCCTCCACAGGCTCCACACTGTGTTTTTAAAATCAGTCTGGCCTGACCGGCGAGGCTCAGAGGTTGAGCAGCGACCTATGAACCAGGTCACGGTTCAATTCCTGGTCAGGGCACGTGCCCAGGTTGCGGGCTTGATCCCCAGGGTAGGCAGCCGATCAATGATTCTCTCTCATCATTGATGTTTCTCTCTCTCCCTTTCCTTTTCTCTTTGAAATCAATAAAAACATTTAAAAAAAATCATTCTGGAACAAAGCAAGTCAAAGACAAATGTATACCATCTGACTGACTATACATCTATCTTTATATTTCTGTTTACTGATATCTCTCTATCACTGTCTACATCTACCTGCCTACCTCGCTATCCATGCACATTATATCTTTTAAAAATATGTATATTTTATTGATTTTTTTTACAGAGAGGAAGAGAGAGGGACAGATTGTCAGAAACATCAGTGAGAGAGAAACATCGATCAGTGCCCGCAATCTGGGCATATGCCCTTGACTGGAATCAAACCTGGGACCTTTCAGTCCGCAGACCAACGCTCTATCCACTGAGCCAAACCACTTAGGGCAGTCACACTATATCTTGATACAAAACTGCAAGTGCTCGGTGCTACACTGATGCCAACAGGACCCAAATGAAGAGTGGTATTCTCTGGGACTTTGTTCATTTCCACTTTATTCATTTCTTTACTTAATTCCTCTTTAAACATTATAAGCTGGTGACAAATATATTTTTAAATATTTGTATTGATCTCAGAGGAAGGGAGAGAGAGATAGAAATATCAATGATGAGAGAGAATCATTGATCGGCCAGGCCAGGGTGCTCCCGCCTGCCTGCGCCCTCTGACGGCATGCGTCTGTAGGGCTGTTGGCTGGGACCATACCTTCTGGGGCCTCATTTCTTCATCTTTAACATGATGATGTTACCGTCGCTCAGTTCAGGATGCGGTGTGGACCAGAGGACCTGCCGCAGGTGGAACAGGCGGGGTAACACCTCGCCCGGAGCAATCGCTCCCTCTAAGCCAGCTGCCGCTGCTGAACATTATTATTACCATTATTATATTATTATTATTGTTGTTGGTCCTTACCCAAAGACACTTTTTTCCCATTGATTTTTAGAGAGCGTTGAAGGAAGGGAGGGAGAAAGAGAGGGAGACACACACACACACACACACACACACACACACACACTGATCTATTGCCTCCTGCAGGCATCCTGCAGGCTGAACCTGCAACCACGGCACGGAGCCCTGATCTGGGATGGAGCCCACCGCCCTGGGGTGCACGGCCGAGGCTCTAACCACTGAGCCTGCCGGCCAGGGCCATCATGTGTATAAGCTGGAGACCCCTCCCCTAATCTCAATTTTAAAATCCCAAATAGTTTACAGTGAGGAGCCTCCCCCCTACTCTGGTCCCTCAGCCACCACTTTGGCCACCACTTTGGAGGGAACAAGCTTACCAGATTTTTAAAAATAAATATATTTTCATTGATTTCAGAGAGGAAGGGAGAGGGATAGAGAGATAGAAACATCAATGATGAGAATCATTGATTGGCTGCCTCCTGCATGCCCCCTACTGGGGACTGAGCCCTAAACCCAATCCTATCCCCTTGACCAGAATCGAACCCAGGACCCTTCAGTCTGCAGGGCAATACTCTTTCCACTGAGCCAAACCAGCCAGGGCAAGCTTATGATATTTTTTGTGGCTCCTTCCAGAGACAACTAATTGATTTCAGGCTGATAACTTTAAATTGAAGAGTATTTGATAACTGAGTTTAGAAGCAGTACAGAATGTTTAAGATAATACATTGGCCCCTATTTATATGTTTAATTTTCAAATTTATAGTAACTGCTAAGGACCGCAGAAGGGCTTGCTTGGTGTGGCAATTAGCAGATTAAAGAATAAAATGTATCACTTTAATAAAGGCCACCTAAAATATTTAAGCAAGACTACATCAAAATAAAAAGTTTCTACACAACAAAAGAAACCATAAACAAAACAGCAAGAAAGCCCACTGCATGGGAGAACATATTTGCCAATGTTATCTCTGATGAGGGTTTACTTTCCAAAATTTATAG